TGGAGTAAGCAATCTGTACAATGCGTTCTTTACACTAAACTCTGTTCTTGGGAGGTCAAACTGTGCAAGGTGTTCTCTAAGCTGTTCAGGGGTGAAAATACCATGCATTTATTACACTAAACTGTTGGAAGGTCAAATTTTGAAAGGTGTTCTCTAAACTAAACTGCATGTGTGTTCAGACTGTGAAAGGCATTCTCTACACTAAACTGTTTATGGCAGGTCAAACTATGCAAGGCATTCTCTAAACTGTGTATGGATATTCAAACTGCAATGCATCCTCTACACTAAATTGTTGGGAGATCAAGCTATGCAGTGTGTTCTCTACATTAAATTGGTGGGAGCTCAAACTGCAAGGTGTTCTCTAAACTAAACTTTGTATGGCCATTCAAACTACGCAGTCTGTTGGCTACACTCAACTGCTGCTGATGTCAAACTCAATATGTTCTTTACACTAAATTGGTGGAAAACCAGTGCAATGTTTTGTCTACACTAAACTGTGGACATTCAAGCTGTGTGATGCGTTCTGTACACTAAAGTGTGTTTAGCATTGAGTCTGTGCTCTGCGTTCTCTGCATGAAACCGCTGTAGACAGATCAAACCATTTGGAAGGTCAAACTGCAAGGTGGTCTCTAAACTGTGTATGAGAGTTTAACCTGCTGTGCGTTCTATACACTAAACTGTTTAGGATCATTCAGTGTGCTGCTTTATTTGCATTCATCTGCATACAGATACTGGCACATGATTATGTATGTTTTAAATGTTTTGTGGGAATTATTTACTGAATTTAGTGAAATCTTTCTATTGAATTGCAAAATTTTCTAACGATTCATTCTCTCATGCATATCATCTCTATATGACCAATTTTCTTGAACTTGTTTCAATGTTGATCCATGTTTTAAAACCTTGTAATTAGGGTGAATTTTTCTCAGCTAGGTTTCCCCTGACCTGGACTTACTGATGTCTGTGCCTGGGTTGACTGACCAGAGAATGAAGTACAACCAGCATTATTTAGTAAGGCAGCAAATGTTGCAATTTTTTTTGCAATACAGTACATAGCATGTTTGGAACTTTGTCTACCAATTTGTCCTACCTGCTTTCCACAGACTTACCCAAAGATTTATTCCTGCTTACACCACTGGGATGTGTGGGATTAATCACTGATGTGTTCTCTATGCTGTGTATTTGAGTAATCAGTGATTCATGTTCTCCAATCTGTGCGTTTCGAGCGAGGAATCTGTACAATGTGTTCGCTACACTGAACTGAAGTCAAAAGGAAATGCATTCTTTACACTAAACTCTTGTCAGGAAGTGAAACTGTGAAAGGTGTCCTCTAATCTGAACTGTATATGGATATTGAAACTGTGCAGGGCATTCTCTACACTACATTATTGTTGGGAGGTCAAACTGCGCAACGTGTTCTTTATACTAAATTGGTGGGAACTCAAACTGCAATGTGCACTCCACACCAATCTGTATGGACATTAAGGCTGTGTGATGCATTCTGTACACTAAACTGTGTTTGGCAGTCAATCTGTGCAATGTGTTCTCTGCATGAAACTGTAGATCAAACTGTGCAATGTGTTTTCTGCACTAAACCATTGGGAGCTGAAACTGCAAGGTGTTTGTTCTTTAAGCTTAACTGCATGGATATTGAAACTGACCAGTGCATTCTGTACACTGAACTGTGCTCAATGCGTTCTATACTCTAAACTCTATTTAGGATCATTCAGTGTGCATTCAACTGTGTTTTGTTATTGGTACATGACATTGTATGTGTATTTATGAGACGTATGTTTTATGAGATTTATTTACTTCACTTGCAATCTTTCTATTGAATTTTGGTCTTTTCTGCTGATTCATGGTCTTAATTTTTTTTTTTCTTTGCAATGCTTTGGCTTATCTGGTTAGCAGACATGCTTTATACTGAACAGTGCTGTTTGTTAGTGAAGTGTTGGTTGGGGTATGTGTGAATCCAGTGTTCTAGTTGACAATCAGTTGACGGTCTTGCTATTATTTTGTGTCGGGGCAGAAGTGTTGGAAACGACTGCTGTCAGAAATTGGCTGTAGCTTGAAGTTACAACATTGCGGTACATAGTGTGTTTGGAAATTGTTGTCTATCAAGTTGTCCTACCCACTTTTTCCACAGGTTTACCCAAAAATATATTCCTGCCCGCACCACTGGTATGTGTGGGGTTAATCATTGATGTTTTATTCTCTGCACTGTATTTGAGTTTCACATTCTCCAGTCTGTGTATGTGGGGTGAGCAATCTGTAGTGTGTTCTCTACCCTAATCTGCTGAGGTCAAATGGTGATGCATTCTTCACACTTATCTCTGTTGTTGGGAAGTAAAACTGCGCATGATGTTCTCTAAACTATGTATTGGGATTCAAACTATGCAATCTGTTCTCTACACTAAACTGTTTTTGGGAGGTCAAACTATGCAGTGTTCGTTCCAATAAATTGGGAGCTCACACTGCAAGGAGTTCTACACTAAACTGTATGGACATTCAGGCTGTTCATTGCGTTCTCTACACTGAACTGTGCATGAAATTATAGATGGATCAAACTGTACAATATGTTCTCTACACTAAACCAGTGGGAGGTCAAGCTGCAAGGTGGTCTCTAAACTGAACTGTGCAGTGCACTGTGTAAACTGTTCAGATGTCAAACTGTGCATGATGTTCTCTACACTAAATTGTGTTTAATCATTCAGTGTGCTACTCCATTTGCATTCCACTGTGTTTACTGGTAAATTATGTGTATGTATTTATGAGATGCTTGATGTATTCTCTACACTGTGTGTTTGAGTGATCAGTGATTCACGATCTCCAATCTCTGTGTGTGGAGTGAGCAGAGTGTACAATGTGTTCTTTACACTAAACTGTTAGGAGGTCGAACTACAATGTATTCTTTACACTAAACTCTGTTGTTGGGAGGTCAAACTTTGAAAGGTGTTCTCTAGACTAAACTATGTGTGTGTATTCAGACTGCAAGCCATTCTCAACCCTCAATTTGTTGTTGTCGTTGAGGTCAAACTGCAGTGTGTTCTCTACCTTTTCCACCTGCTTCTCACTAGAAAGCATGAAGGGGGCTACCTTTGCAATATGTGATGTGTATCTTTGAACATAAAATATCAGCAGAATATTGTTGTGAGTGGACAACTGAAAGGTCAGGAGTTTCTAGAGGCAAAGGGCAAAAAAACTGATGAAGCCTCCTTTGTGCACTGTTATTGCTGGCTTGTATTAATGTTAACTGTCTGAACTTGTTAATTGTTAAGTCAATTATTTTTTGATTAATTATGACTAAGTGCCATCACAGGCCCACTACAGACCACTGGCCCCCCTCAGTATAGGCCTAAGTTACCACTAAGGGGTGCTTCACGGCCCACTTGTTGTCCTCAGCCCAGTGGGAGCTCAAACCGTAGTGTATTCTGCATTCAGCTGTATGGACAGTCATGCTGTGCCGTGCTTTCAGTGCACTAAACTGTTCGGCAATCAATCTATGCATTACATTATCTGAGTGAAACTGTTAGACACATCAAGCTATGCAATGTGTTCTCTACACTAAACCTTTGAGAGGTCAAGCTATGCCATCCATTCTCTACACTAGGTGGTCATTGGGAGGTCAAACTTATATGTTCTCTAAACTACATTGGTGGAAGCTCAAACTACAATGTGTTCTCTAAACTATATGGATATTCAAGCTGTGCCATGCATTCAGTACACTAAACTGTGTTTGGCAGTCAGTCTGTGCACTACGTAGTCAACATAAAACTGTTGACAAGTCACCCTGTGCAATGTATTTTCCAAACTAAATTATTGGGAGGTCAAGTGTTCAACCCACTAAACTATGTTTAGGATCATTGTGCTACTTCATTTACATTGATCTGGGTGCTGTTAATGTGCATTATGTGTTTTTATTTTGAGATGCTCATTTGCAGTTCTCTCTGGCATATTATCTCTGTCTTAAGTTTTCTTTGTTACTGCACTTATGTCGGTATGTTCGTCCAGCAGGCGGCGGTCATAAATGTCGAGTGATTTCCTACTGTGCTGTCTTTGGCATGTTTCTCTGAAGGTTCTCTTTTTTAATCTCTTTATCCCAACAATCGAGATTCTGCAGCTGAATGTAAACTGACTTTTTTTTTTTTTGTACATCCAGACTGAATGACCAGGCTGAATGACCTCTTTGAGCGTGTCAGTGAGGCATTTTCCTCTGATAGGGTAAGGTGGGATCTCCATGTGTTATGTGCAGATGTTAGTCCAGGTGAGCCTTTCTTCATTAAGGAGCACCACCTCGATAGCCACACAGTTTCTTCAGCATCTGCTTCTTTATTTGCCTAATTTTCTTCTCTGTTCACCCTGCTGGGTTCACCTTGGACCCATTGTCACAGGTTAAGGATTTGCTCCATGGTCCTGCAAGTGGAAGAAGTCTAGTGGTGAATTGCAAGAAGACCCAGTTAAACGACATTATTGGCTAACTCTGGGTCTTATTTTACTAAACTGTGTGCAAACGATTACTTTGTTAGGAGGAAAAGATTTGATATGAAATCATTGCCAGTTTAACATGTGCATGTATATGAATTCGAATGTTGGTGAATCCAACATTATTATTATACATTTTTTTTAAATTAGTGTGTTATTTTTCTGAGCTAGGTTCCTTCTGGCCTGGACTTGCTAATGTCTGTGCCTGGCTGGGCTGAGCAGAGGAGGAAGTGCAAGTCGGTGTATAGAGAAGTGATCCAGCACGGTAGGATCCCATATTTGCCTGTAACTACTGCTTTCTTTTAGATTATTTGCTTTTATAGTGTTCATTTAATTTGTTTTGTAGTTTTAACTGCAGTATTGTCTAGTTTATAGCCTAGTTTGAGCCATGCAGTATAATAGGAGGGTTGTTGTGATGTTTTATTTATTTTTTTTCTCTGGGGAGGAAGGTTTTTGTTTCATAATTTTGTAAGTCAGCAAATATTGCCATTTTACTGTAATTTTAAATGTGTAGCTAATTTACCATAATTTATATTTTTTACTTATTGTATTGTGTTGCTTAGCAAAAATCTGGACAAAGAAGAGCTGGAATCCAGATTGTGGAGCTGTGTGTGTGTGTGTGTGTGTGTGTGTGTGTGTGTGTGTGTGTGTGTGTGTATACATACACTTCAGTTCCACTCGGTGATCCTTCTGCATATTCATAGGATGCTACCATTCAAGTCATTTGATTTTTTGTTCCGGGTCGTCTGCGTGCTGTTGGGGTGGCTTATGCTTGGTCTGCGTGCTGTTGGGGTGGCTTATGCTTGGTCTGCGTGCTGTTGAGGTGGCTTATGCTGGGTCTGCTTGCTGTTGGGGTGGCTTATGCTGGGTCTGCTTGCTGTTGGGGTGGCTTATGCTGGGTCTGCTTGCTGTTGGGGGGGCTCGTTGCGCCGGTCATCTGTGATTTTGGGTGTTCTTTGTTGAGTTGTGGTTTGTCTGGTAAGTCTTCCTCATACACTCCTTGTGTATGTGGTTTTGTACTCTTCTCGTGTGTGTGTGTGTGTGTGTGTGTGTGTGGTTGGGTTTTTTTTTGTGTGTGTGTGTGAGAAACATTTGATTGACAAAACTCACTGTATTTTGTTTATTAATCTGAATGCCGTCTATCAGGTTTACTTTTGTTTTTTGTTTGAATTTTTCATTTTTTTACAACTTTGTGGTGATGTGTGGACCAGAGGATGTCACAACCACTGGTATATAAAGCCAATTCCGAGAAAAAAGTTGTTTTTTTTTTTCTCCTCCCACTTACAGCTTGTAATTTTTTTTTTCAGTTTCAGACTTTTGACCTTGATCTGGCGTGGAATGTGCTATAATGAGTAACAGCATAACGGAGAAGGCTGATGACCTTTCTCAATGTTGCTTGTGAGAAATAAGAATCAACACTTTCTATACACCATATTCACCACATTCACTTAACTGATGACAAAGTTCTCTTTATCAGCGGTTTTCTGAGTCACACTGGTACGTTTAGCAGATCACAATTAAAATTCACAAGTGTTTCAACTTCCACATGATCTTGTTACTTGAGCACATCATAACAACAGTTTCTCACTCTTTTGAACATTTTTGCAAATGCTTTTACACATGTAAAAGGCTGTGTACAGTCATATGCTTCATCAGTTTGTGTTTTGGAATGTTTTGCTAAATTAGCTATCATTCAGAGCTTGATTGTTACATGTGATTAATGAGGATTCATTCAATTTGGCAAAAGAAAATGAGTGTAAAACCTCATAGACCACCAAGCCAGAGTGGATGTACCGGGTCAGCATGAAGGAAAATCCAGTAACAGTGTGTCACCCTATCAGACAATGTGTTCAGTCATATTTTTACCATTGGGCTTTACAGAAAACACAATCTTACCTTTATTCAACCTGCTAGAAAACACTGTTCAGTTGGAGACAATAATAAATTACTGTGAGTAAAAGATACAGTAAAAAGCGAAATTAGAAAAAGAAATAATTTCCAGGACATAATTTTATATTGACAACATGACTAAGTATTTTGACTGTCTTGGTTACAAACCATGACAAAAGGACTTTCATTTTGGTGGCACTGACATTTATTGCGGTGGTTATTTACTTTTGAGACACACACTAAACATTTTGAGTGAGTTATGGACTTTTGCAGGTAATCCACTGTGTGATTGCTGTTTGTACTTCTCTTCAGAAATGTTCATAACAATTCAAAAACATCCCAAAACGACTGAGAAAAATGGTGGTTAATGTACTGCATTTTAAAATGCTTATTTAACTTTTTGTATGGGACAGTTGCTAATTTTAAAACTGTATCTCCATCAGAAGGAAATAATTCCCACCACAGTTCCTAGCGATCCAAGCTAACACATGTGGAGAAAGGTAACTGAGACAGTGGACATTTGTGTAATATTAAATGTATGTTACAGTGGTTGTTTTCTTTTCTTTTAGTAACAGTCTTTTAGTCCCCTGAGCACCTTTTGTAGAGGAAAACAAGTTCTTAGGTTTGCTGAGAGAACTGCTATGAGCCAGGACAATGAAGAGCCAATCAAAAAGTAAACACTGTGTTGTCTGAACACAAACATCATCCCACGGTGATCTTCATTCTACAGAGCTTTTGTTAGAAATGACATCTGTTAATGAGTTTTGGCAGTGTTTATGTATTGGACACAATTCTCAAAGAGCTGACGTAGAGGAGCAGTTCAACACCCTAATCTCAAGGATAGACATTCTAGAGAGACACTTTCTCCAGTGGCAACATCTAAAAAAAATCCCCCACCGCTTCTCTGAGAGTGATGTTCTTTGGGGAGGCAGGCATGAATGCAGGTGTTCTCTGAAAAGAATTTCTCACAGGTTAAACAAATATGACCATGGATATGAATTCCAAAGTAATCAGAGTCCATTAAAACAGTTTTAGATTTTAGCTTATACATTATGTCTGTCATACTTTGGTTAAAAGGGCAGCAAACCCAAAATTCATGAAATGTTATACCCTACTTCTCAAAGGATCTCTGTCATTGAGTGTTATGGTATTAATTGTGTGTTAGTTTTTTCTATGATGAATGTAGAAAACTTGAATATAACCCCATTAATTTAGAGAAGTGTCAGTCTCTACAAACCAATTAGACAAACCTCCTAAAACTGTCTGGATGATTAACTAGAAATATGGTCAGACAATGTTTACATTTATATTTTTTATACATTTCTAATTTTTTCTTTCCCAGGTTGAATTGACTCAGCATTCCATTGAAGGCCTATCTGATAATCTAAAACTGTGAATATACTGGAGCTCTCTGCCTTCAAAACAAGGAGTTAATTGTTCGGTATGGTGGGTTTTGTAGGATTTTTTTTTTTTTTCTTTCTGCTGTTGTGGAGCCATCAGACACCAGACAGTGCTGAAGTTGCAGCCTCTGTTGAAACAACCAAGATAAGCCCTGCAGCTGTGTGACCTTCACTACTCAGGCAGTACCAGATATCTGCCAGCCCAGTTTGTTCCTGTGGAAGATGTAGAAGTGAGCAAAACAAGACTGACCATTTATTATGACCAAAAACATTTACCTGCAATGAAATTTCATAAAGTGTAATAATTTACATCTTTATTTTATCTCATCATAGGTCAGTGCAGAGAGTGTTATGGCAACCATTCTTTCTCAACTGGGTGACAAGAGGACCACCAAGCATCAGGCTGAGCTGGAGATGATCAACTTTATACAGGACTTCTTTTATGTTGAAGGTATGTAATTTCCTGCAAATCAAAAGTTCAAAAACCGGTCAAATTTGAGCGTTTTCATGACAAAGGAGTGGAAAAAGTGCACTGCAGTAAAGAAAAACAAATTTTAAACTGTCACAATGTGTATCTTTTTTCTTCACAGCTGAATATCAGGGGGATGTAGATGAGAAAGATTCCCACATTCCATCACACCTGCCAGGTTTCTGCAGAGGATTACAGGCCAAGGGCACATCCCACCTCTTCCTTCAAAGAAGGACTTTGCTGTAACGTTAAAATTTAACCACGACTGCAGTTCAGACTTTGGGCATCATAACCTCTGTTACACTGTTGTGTCAGCATGTCCAAGTCTTTTGTGCTACCTGTAAGACACATGAGGTCCTGTGACCAATCCGAAAGGGTTCTAATGGAGACTTTATAACTAGGCCAAGAATTTAACACTGTGTAAACAAAATTCCAGCAACTGCCTGTTTTTCAAAGTTGAATTACAACCTAAATGTTTCACACCAACTGCTACTGTTTTACTGTCCTATGTTCTGATTAATTAAACACATTTCGTAATGTGTAATATTGTGTTCCAAGATCTTACCATGTTTAAAGAGAGGAATTAGTCAAGTAAACAAACATAATGTCATTTCCACCAATCTTGTTCACCAATTATTTACAGGTGGTATCTAGGGTCCATGATTTAGTACACAGTTCAGTACAGCTAAATAAATGTCTCGACTGGCTCAGATGGTCTGCCATATCCTGCTCACACAGGGGACACTGAACAGCTAGAAGAACCCAGAACTGGTCTCATCTAGCTCAGTGACTGTGTTGAAATCAAGATCTGTGTCGTTGATTTATTACATTTATTAAAAAATAGCAATTTCAATTTTTAAAACCTGTCATATAGAAATCAGGCATACATAAAATAAAACTACAAAGGCAACCAGATTGGCTGACTATGCTAAAAAGCCAAAGAAATATAAGCCTCGTTCAGCTTTTGAACAGTTCACCCATCAAAAGAAATGGTTCAAACTTTATACATGTTGCATATTTAATGTAGTTATACGCTGTGCATATATATAGCATTTTAATAGTTTTAAGCATTACCTGATATTAGAAAGCATCTTTTTTTTTTCCTTCAAACTTTTCTGCAATTTGATTCAAATTTGTTTTATCGCTTTAGTTTATTTTGATGTTCTTGATTGGAAACCACGTTTATAAATGACAAAAAAATTAATACTAAAAAATTAACATTCAAATTTTGGGTAAAAAAAATAACTACTAATATACAGTGGAAAATAGTTTACAATTCCATTTTTTTTCATGAGTTTTGAGGGCTTCTTTTACAGTGTTGTAAAGCTGTTTTAAGTACAATGCTTGTATCTTAAAATCAAGTAAATAAATATCAAATAAAATGGTGTATGCATTTTTATTGTAAGATACTGGTCAAAACTATGTCTCGCGTTTGCTTAAAAAATCCTTAATTAAAATCTTTGCTAGTATTATTTGGGTGGTGGGTCATTCTCAGCACTGCAGTCACACTGATGATGTGGTGGTGTTTTAGTGTGTGTTGTGCTGGTCTAAGTGAATCAGACACAGAAGTGCTTGATGGAGTTTTTTGGACTGAGAATAGTCCACCAACCAAAAATATCCAGCCAGCAGCATCCTATGACCACTGACGAAGGACTAGAGGAAGAGGATAACCAACACAAACTGTGCAGCAACAGATCAGCTACTGCCTGTGACATTACACCTACAAGGTGGACCAACAAGGTAAGTGTGTGGACAGTGAGTGGACACAGTGTTTAAAAACTCCAGCAACACTGCTGGATCTGAACCACTCATACCAGCACAACACACACTAACACACCACCACCATATTGCAGTGCTGAGAATGATCTACCAGCCAAACAATACCGACCTTGTGGTGGGGGTCCTGACCTTTGAAAAACACAGTTAAACGGGGGCTAACAAAGTGTACAGAGAAACAGAGGAACTACAGTCTATAATTGTACAACTATAAAATATCCAGTCATACCTCTCTGGTGTAATTAATAAACACAAAGATAATACCAAAATCCTAGACCAACTAATTAACCCCAGCTTTTCTGCTAGTGTGTCTCAATGTGATTTATCTTCTAAAATTTGTGAAGGTTTTGCAATTCATTCTGAAAATAAAATGGACCTGATAAGACAGGGTATAGCTCAGCCAGCTGAAACAAGCTCCTATAACCTTCCTGATAAGCCACCTACATCAGCAATGACATATTTCTTTATCAGGAGCTTACAACTGTTGTAAACAAACTAAGTTCGTCCACATGTGATCTTGACCCTGTTCCTACTTCATCCCTTAAGATGGTTTTTGATTGTGTTCACAATGATCTTTTAACTATTTTAAATTGTTCTCTGTCAACAGGTGCTTTTCCAGATGCTTTTAAAACTACCTTGGTGAAGGCTCTGCTTAAAAAGAGCAGCATGGATCCTTCTGCACTAAATAATTTTAGACCAATTTTAACCCTTTCATTTTTAAGTAAAGTCTTAGAAAAAAGTTGTTTTCAAACAATTAGATGTGTATCTAATATCAAACAAGTTATATGAGATGTTTCAGTCAGGTTTTAAATCATATTTAGGTAATAGGCAGTTCATGGTTTCAATGGGAAATCAGCCCTCAAAAAGATTTGGCATTTCTTGTGGAGTCCCTCAAGGTTCAGTTTTAGGGTTTTTGCTTTTCCCTTTGTTCATGCTACCTCTCAGTGATGTCATTAGGAAACATAAGAGAAATTTTCATAGCTACGCTGATGACACCCAGTTATACATTTCTCTTCCTTCTGATATTCAAGACTCTGTAGACGGACTAACCAGCTGTGTGTCAGATATTTCTCAGTGACTCGCAAAATTTTCTACGAGTAAATCACGAAAAAAATGAAATATTGATTGTTGGTACAAAAATTCAGAGAAAGCTGTTTTAAGAGGAACTTGGTTCTTTAGCTTCATATACCAAACCTGAAATACAAAACCTGGGTGTGACCTGGATGAGACTCTGAGCTCTGTTTTATCCTGCATTTAAACTCACTAAAGTATCTCACTAAAGTCTATCATTTGAGAAATATCGCTAAAGTTCAGCCTTTTCTATCTCAGAGCGACGCAGAGAAACCTGTTCATGCATTTGTTACAAGGAGAGTTGATCACTGTAATGCTCTTCTTACTGGACTTCCTAAGAAAGTAATACAGCCTTTATAACTCGTACAAAATGCAGCAGCTCGAATCCTAACAAAAACAAAAAAGAGAGATCACTCCCGTTTTAAAAGAACTGCACTGGCTACCTGTATCGTTCAGGATAGATTTTAAAGTTATACTAACAGTTTTTAAGGCTCTAAATAACCTTAAGGCACCGCTTACATAACAGAGTGTCTGTGTGTTCCAGCACGTAATCTTAGATCTGCAGACACTGATCTTCTTCAAATACCTTCTGTAAAATACAGAAAACATGGAGAGGCTCTTTCAGTTATTCTACTTCTAAACTGTGGAACTCAATTCACCTTTTATTACACAGTCAAGCTCCAGTCATGACGACTAACTAGAGAACACTTACGACAAAGTCTGCATGTGCCATCAGAAATTATGGCATCTGTCATGACAGTTACTGCTAATGATAACATGACACTGTCATATTACTCAACATGATCTGTAATGATAAATCGGCATATAATGTCTACAGTGAGATGTTTATGTTAATGTTATGTAGCAGGTTCATGTAACGTCTTCTCAGCATAAATAAAAAAAATAAATACATAAAAACATATACATACATATAATATTTCTGGTGTTTAATCTGCTTTTCTATGTTAATCGTGATTTCTCAGTGCTGTTTTTATATGTATTTGAGGTTCAAATTATGTTATATAAGAAAGTCACACTGATTAATAAAAATGAATGTAGGCTGACAAATGAAACTGATATTTTGTGTTGTGTCATGTTTTATCTTAAAAGACAAACTCAAAATAACTATTTTAAACTGATAGTGTTTTTTATGAAAATATGCTGTGAGAAAAATGACTAACTCAAAAATGCTGCTTGCATAAATATTCAACCCCTGTGCTGTGGAAGCTCAGCAAAAGATATGCCCACATGAGGACACAAGTGGCTTACAATTGGCCTCATTGGAATCATTTAAAAACCTTTTCTGGATAAAAGATCCCTTAATTCAGATCTAACTGATCAGACTGTGAATCTGAAGGAAGGCTGTGAAAATGAAGACTAAAGATCATTTAAGGAAATTAGAAATAAAATTATAGACATGGTCACAAAATAAAATCCAAGTGTTTGTATCCCTTTGGGGACTGATCGGTCAACTGTTAGCAAATGGAAGCTGCATCATACCACCCAGACACTGCCTAGACAAGGACGTCCCTCAAAATTCAGCACAAGAGCAAGAAAGGGACTCTGCGAGAGTCACCACAGAGAGGACAACTCTCACTCTGAAGGAGCTACAGAGCTCAGTGGCTGAGACTGGAGTAAAGGTAGGGAAACAATATCAAGAGCTCTGTATATAACTGGCCTGTATGAGAGGGTGGCTAGAAGAAAGACTTTACTGAAGAAAGAGCAAATCATAACACGTCTGGACTTGTCTGGCTAACGTGGGATAATGTTTTGTGTATGTATGGCCAAAATTCAAAGTGCTATGTGTGATGCAAGCCTAACACTGCTCATTCCTCAACAAACACCATCAGTATAATGTTGTGAGGAGCAGCAAATTGTGGAGATGCTTCTCCTCAGTGGGGACTGGGCATCTTGTTAAAACTGAAGTATGAATGGTGTAAAATACAGAGAGATACTGCAAGACAACCTGCCAAAGACTAAAGCTTGGCAGAAACTTTACCTTCACCTCCCAAACACAAAGAAAAAACAATACAGGAGTAGTTGAGAAACAAAAAGGTGAATGTTCTACAATGGCCAAGTCCAATCAAATCAAGAATCTTTGGCACTATCAGTAAATTGTAGTCCACATGCACCATCCAACAAACCTGAATAACATCTCTCCCAAACGCTGTGCAAAGCTGGTGGGAAGCTGTTATTGCAGCAGAATGTGGTTCTATCAAGTACCAGTCTGAAGGGATTGAATACTTATGCAAACAGTCTTTTTCAGTTCTGATTAAATTGTGAGCAGATACAGGAGTTTTCCCCATACAGTTACTGCAAAAGCATTGTAAGAAAATGTCAAATGCCAAATATATCCCAAATATTGTCAGTTTTGAGTCTTTTCCCTCCAAGTCCTTCAGGTGGGCCCTTTAGATCCTGCCAGAATGTGATCAGCTGCTGTGGGGAGTTAAGGATGGTGGTGATCACACTGGCAAACTCTTCTCGATTATACTTACCGCTAAAATAGTCCTTAAACTGGGACGGATTGGGAGGGTCTGAAGGTGAAAGTCCTATTCGTTCCAGACAGGCACCCACGTATGCATCTTCTATGTTAAACGGCTTTATTTCTTTTGAAACCTTAACAATCTTTTCTGAAAGGTCATTGGAGAAGACATAACCCATCCCCAGTGGGTATGTTGGATAGTAGTCTTCAGCATATAATTCCTTTGGCACGTACCACTTGGAGTTCTTGTCCCGGATGACCGGTATGTTCCACATAACCTTTCCCGTCATGTAGTTTTCTTTAGGCGTATCAGGTCTCAGTAAGAAGTTCATCAAGTTCTCCAGATTCAAGAACATGTCAGAGTCAATCTTCATAGCGTAGGATGCCTGTGGGCAGTGTGAGGCCAGCCAGTCCATGATTAACATGGTCTTTATCGTCAAGTTGAGGTACGAGTCCATGAAGTCACTCTGGACCAGGTCATGGTACTGCTGGCTTTCCAGACTTAGTTCCTCCTGTTGTTTCTCAGCTTTGATCCCAGGCAGACCCAGTGAGAAGATCACCGTGATGGTTTTGTTTTGGACCACGCTCTCATTACCCCATGTTCTCCGGATGGCGTTGCGAGCCTCCAGTTCGTGTGGAGCCACTGGAACCATGAGGACCAGAAATGGGTTCTCTTGTTCACACTTATGGGGCTCGTCTATGATGAAGCGGTAGTTGTGTGGATATGCTTCATGGTAACAGATGGATGATGCTTCTTTTACTAGAACAGTTGTCATGGACTTCATACTGAGCGTGTCTGTCGTGTTATGTCTGTTCACTGTAGTTACTGCTGTGTGTTTGGCATTGGACGTCTGTTGGTTGACTGTTTGGTCGCGTCTTGTGAGACAGTTCATATTTATTAGTGTGTGATTTTTGGCTGTTTGGAATGTGATTAACTTGGTGAAATTGCTGAACCACACTTTGGATGACTTTGGACGGATGCCAAACACAAAGATAGTGACAGACACAATGAAGGTTATGGACAGTAATAATATGAAGCAGCTCTGAAAGCGCAACCTGCTGAGGCTGAAGGTGGCCATTTTCTGGGCTGGACTAAAAGAAAAGAGAAAGAGAGAAGTAGTCTCAATGAAGCAGCCTTTTTACCTTATCTTTTTTTGTTGTAAAACCCTTATTCAAACTGCTGGTGTCCAGCAATTTGGTAATTTCCCCACTGAACTGAATAGCGCTGATCTACCTCTGCCTGAATCGATTCATGTTTATAAAATTGAAATAACAGAACGTTAAAGAGTTAAAGAGTTTATACATCTTATGTTCACACAAATGGATACAAAAATGTAAAACTTTACCTGCCAGGAATATGAGGGTCACTTCTCTGATATTTCCTGATGTTTGGGAAGACATGGCAGCATGGTCTAGAAGATAACAGAATACAGAATAAGGCAAACATTTACTAGGAAAGTATCAAGGAATGAACCGTGAGTAAAGTAAATGACTAAGCAGTCACTGTTTTAGCTCTGAGAGGTAAGAGACTCGCTTACTGCTCTCCTCACACTTATAAGCTGTTATGAGTAACACAGCAGAGATTCGGAACTGTTTGAGCATTTTGCATTATGGCACCTCCTTCTTTTAGCTCACAGTCTCTTCCTTTATTCAACAACACAAACATATTTAAGTGTGATTACCATTTCTCTGTATTTTTTATTTGGTTTTTAATTAATGTCATTATTTTTCTTTTTTCAGCCTATGTTTTTTCTGTATGCTACATTATCACTGTAGATATGTAGTGCCTGTTCAATAAAAGAGCATTTGCGTGTACAGCCAATGTCTCCTTCTAAAATCAGTGGTCAGAAGTGGGATATGGCCACCGAGCCGGAAGAACTTGAGCAGTGTATCAACAAACTTAAAGGTAGATGGCAAAGAGGCCATAGTCCATGGTACATAGACCCTCCCTGATGGGTCCAGCTAGGCTGGCAGGGGAAGACACTGAAGGAAACACCGTGGCAAGGCTCGGCAGCAGAGCCCAGCTAGAGTCTGGTGAGAGAGACGGTGCGACTCTGCTTACCACACATCAACGCCAAAGGCACTTGGGAGCCGTACTCCACACAGCTGCAAGTTGTTGCCCGGCATTATGGCTGGACGGCAGCAGTCACTGCAACACAGCTGTGTTTAGCACTGGAAAGGAAAGCACTACAGGGGCTTGTGAATCTGCTGTCGGAACAACGTTACGGCCTAGTGGTGTCGACTGCAGCCCCCCAGTGATGCTTTGGGCAGGTGCCGATGGCTGCTTCCTGGAGAGGTGGAGGCGAAAGGGAGAGCAGACAAGTGTGCTAAGTACGATGGTTCGACAGACATAACCAGTGTTCAAGAAGGCTGTGCAGGAAGAATTAGCATTGAACACTTCCTTAACGCACTGCTGCCAAAGGAGCTGAGACAGCACATGCAGTTCACCACACGGGTCAGCTGATCTGCCATGGTGAGCAACACAGTGTAATGCAGCTGAGTAGCTTGAGGAGGAGATGGTGTACCGAGCAGGCCCTGAGCAAGTGACAGTGGAGCAACTGGTAAGCTGGCGGTGCAGGAGGAGAGGACACTGTGGCAATGTTGTAAACCTGAGCCAGCAGAGAAACAAAAGCCAGCCGTAATGCCAGGCGACCACTTGCAGCTGTGTGGAGTACGATTCCCATGCGCTCTCACCGTTGAAGCGTGGTAAGCACTTCAAAAGTGAGGGTGCCTCAGAGCCGTACTCCACACAGCTGCAAGTGGTTGCCTGGCATTATGGCCTTTTCATTAAATAGTCTAATCTACGTTTGTTAATAAAGAATAATATAGCAGGATAATTCCTGTTATAGTCACAGCTGTTCATCAGAAGCAGAGTAATCCTACCTGAAATACACAGCAGGGTGATGGGTGATAACATCCCACATTCAGAGCTCATAATTCCACATTTACTGTGAAATAAAGACACAGAATAAAGTCTTTGTGTAGTTCAACATATTAATGTAACAATCTAAACATCAGATACTCCATTTGCTTCTTACTGAGGAAACTTAAACTCTACTTTGTGGCTTTAACATTTTCACCATGTCCACTGTTACACTCTGATAGTGGAACTCATAGTTACAGTAATATATTTGTGGATTAAACAGATAAAATCTGTACTACTTACTTCCTCCTGTAAAGACCTTTCACAGCTGTGTAACTCCGTGAACAGTGCAGTGTGAGAACAGAGTGTGTGTGAGGGTGGGGTGAGCAAATGTTGAGTGTTTAAGATGGGGGTTGGTTTTTCTGTCGACATCTGGTTTCTTCCTGTTTTCTGCACTCGCAGCTAACATCGGCAACCTCTCTAACAGCATATTTTAACTTTTATTTTCTGTTTTAACAGTCACCTTTTTCAGTTTAGTAAGAATAAAACTCCAATGGCTGAACGTGCAGATGTATTTACAGATTAAATTCCCTAATACAGTAGTGGTAGCAGACTCATGTGTAGTTTCAAATCTCCCACAAAACTACACGATCCATAATGCTTTGCTGAAACACGAACGCTCACAGTAGCGGATGCTGCAATCCGAGCTTCCCTGTTCTTTTTGTTTTTATAGGTGGGACGGTGGCGCGTGCATGTTAGTCCCCTCTGTGAGCGCGCGGACTTCCCACGTTTTGTTTTGTTCTCCCCAAAAGAGAAAGATAGTGACCGCCCCCACAGCCCCCTCAGCGCTGTGCAGGCAAGATGGTGGAGCGCAGCAGAAAACGTTTAGGTGAAACCGAAAGTTGGCGAGGCTGAAGTTTGGCTTCTTCTTTACTTTTTTCGTTCCACCTTAAACCGTGCAGCAGTTCCATTCTGCGCCTGAAGGCCGTTACACACCGAACACGGCAGGATATTTATATATATATATAAGCTATATCAAATAATGTTATTTGCCCGTCACAAAACAGACTGAGATGCGGTGCAGATTGATTTCCTCTCAGGAAAAGTAGGAGCAGAGCGGGGAGATTCTCCACCTCATTTCAGGAGCCAAACTCTGCGAGCTCTTTCACTCACAGCAGGGATCTCAGCTGAGTCTGAGCTGGTTTTGGAGATGCAGCTCCACTAAACGAAGCTGTGACAATGAGCTACTGTCCATTCTGGAAAAGTGAACGTAGTGAAGATCTTCATCACTTTATTCAGACACTGAGACGCTGAGCGCTTCCATACAGGATTAATTTAGCTCACAGCCCAGTTTGTGTTTCGGAGACTCTGATTCTTTTATCGTTTGTGCAGAAGTGCTGCTGCTCTGTTATCTTGGTTGTCGCCATTCCAACAGCAGCGATGACCGTGACACGTTGAGGGGAACCAGGACTCAACAGAGAAACCCATCCTTCTCTGGCTGAAAGCAGATAGCGAAACAATAATACAACCAGAGCAACATGACTGAAAAAAAATAAAGATTTGACAGTAAATGTACCATAGTGAAAACAGAATAAAGAAACAGAATGAGCCTGACATTTAGATCAACCAATGACAACCGATAACTGCTGAAAGGCATTAAAAGGGAAGTTGTCCCGGCCTGGCAGGTGGGTAACTGAGGGAGATTTTTGATAATGTGAAAGATTTTTAAGTGAAAGATTTTTCAAGTAATCATTTTAATAATTTTAATCATAACTAATCATATTATGCTGTATGGTTCACATTGGGCAGCTCTCCCTGTGTGTGTGCGTGTGGGTGCCTGTGTGACCCTGCATATGTGGTGTGTGACAAGCAGGCCTGATTGTGTCAAAGGCTGGGGCCCGGAGGCAAGCACACACACACACACACACGAATATCCCGTTTTTTTTTTTGTTTGTTTGTTTTTTTTTACTATATACTATTAAGAATGTCTTTAGGAGGATCAACATCTTCAGTGATCACACAGCACATCCACAGAGCTGCTGTGGGAGACTGACACTCCCACTGTGATCAGCTTTAACACTGAGCTCTGCTCTGAACCTTCACAAATAAACTGCAGTATAAATTACAGAAAGTGTGATTCATTTATGCGCTGTGCTCATCATGAACACATTAATAATTCATTACACAACAGCATTGATGTGAGATCTTACAAAGAATCAAGAGAGAGACGTGGTTTTAGTGACTAAATGAGGTTATTACACCAACAATGATCATCTCAGACCTACAGCCAGATCCAAAACCATAAACCCCCAACATAAACAACACAACACTCACCATGAGCTCAGTGGACTGGACTTTCAGAGCTGAAGATGCAGGAGCTCTGGATCCTGGAGAAAAGCTGAGAGAGATGGACGTTCTGATCTACATCTGTGGAGAAATAGTCAACACAGCATCCAAATCAAGCAGGAAAAGCTGAGGAGATACAGCATGTTATTTCAGTCATTATAGAAAATGGACTGTTTCTCAGTGTTAACTGATTATTGATAGGACTAAAAAACAACTTCCAAACTTATTTAAAGCTGCATCAAGAAAATTGAGCCTTGTTTTTTTTTTCTTTTCCACTGAATCATTCATTCATTTTTCCTAAATTTATTTTCAGTGAAAAATATATAGAGTTTTTTTTAACTGAATGAAAAGCGTATGGTTAATTAAGTAATCTGACAAAGTCAGGGTAAGTTCTGCTTGCCTCCGGGCCCCAGTTCTGTTCATGTAACTTTAAAATATGACAGATACCAAATAATGACTGAAGCTAAGCATCAAAATAAGCCACTTTGGTTAACTAAAAATGTTTGTGTTTGAAATCTGCCTTTGTTACTGTGCCATATTTTGTCAGAGGCCTTCAGTTTTAATGAAGAACAGGATGTGTGACACTAAATCTTCAGCTTGAATTATGAATTATACATTTTGTATGTATGCCCACAAAAGTATTTTAATTTTCGATTAATATTAGCCCGTTTCACAACGCGCTGTACAGTCCCCAGTATACACTGCAATGTAATGTGTGCTTTGACTCTCCTCCCCCAACAGCAGTCTATGGGACAGCGGTTACACCTCAATTCTACACAATTCTACATAGTTCCACACCAGTCATATCACCAAACACACCGGCTACATTTCAACATCTAACGTTAGCTCAACAGCTCAGAAACTGAGCCCAAGTCTAAATGAACTTGCAGCAAAGAAAAGATGCCAGGTGCCCAGTTCAAGCAAATGCGTAGGTTTAAAAGACTGAGCTCCTGGGGACGTTTACATTTAGAATATTTCAAGTACATACATACATACATACATACATACATACATCATCTAAACCGCTTATTCTTCTGGGTCACGGTGAATATTTCAAGTATTCATGTCATATTTCAATGTCTACTACAAGTGCCTATATTTTACTGCTAAAGTTCTGTGTATTTTGAATAAACAATGGCCAGTTCGGTTTATAGCACAACATTAATTAAAAATGAAATAAAAACATAATCAGTTTCTGGCCCACAGGTTTGTTGAGTGCTTGAGTTTGACACTCCTGTTTTAAAGAAACAATATAAAGAATGGTGTCTGAATTTATTTTATTTATTTTATTTTAGTCCTGTCTATTTTAATTTTTCAAGTTAACTGTTAAGAAAAGCTAGTTAACTTAGCTGAAAAATTCTGAGTTTGCAAGTTTCACTAGAAAGGAATTTTTCATATCAAACCACTAAAAAAACCCTTGTTTACATCTTAATGATTTAATTATACAGGCAAAAAATCGTGAAATTCCCCTTTAATACCCCTTTAATGCTGCCACAGACGGAGTTCAGGTCACTGCGACCCCTGCTGTTCGTGTCTGGGGTCGCAGTTGCGGCCACCGGAGCCTATTATTTGTTTTCTTCCAGGTTCGGAGATCGCCAGCGGAGGAGGAGGACGGTCGACGCTGATGTCCGGATCGCAGCAGAAGGTAACAAAAGATACAACAACAAGCTGAGAGGCTGAACAGTTTAAAAATGCCCGTTAGCGTTTAGGTTATCTGAATACATTAGCCGCCAGCTAAGTTAGCCTGTCTGGATGTTGTCTATGTAGATGAAGATGAAGATGTAGCTAGCTAGCTACGATAGTTAGCGTTAGCTAACCTAGCTCGGCTAACGAGACCAAACCATGAAGGAATTTAGATAAAGTTGGTTAAACTACAGCTAAAGTTACCAAGAGGAGGTTGGAGTAGCAGTTCGTTAGCTAGCTAGCTTAAAAACCGTCCTCCAGTAAAAGTCTTATTACTTCAGAAAAATAATGACTTAGGTAGGAGAGCAAGTAACGCCTAAAACTAGCTTGAGCTAATAGTACAATTTAACATTAAATACTGAATTCTCTAAATACCTGCAGTTAAAGTTCCTATACATCCAGCATCAACCAGCATAGAAAATTAAGTTTGTTGAGCGCTGTTCTTTTCTCTTTTTGGAATAATTTTGAAATAAAATTAAATGATTCAAATGTGAGATAAAGGAGAAACAGCAAATGAATCCAGGTGCTGTCACTATTAAGAAAGTACGAAATTAAACCTAAAAAGACATTAATGAACAAATGAAATGTAAATGAGAAAAGGGCAGATTACATTTCTCACAAATAAAATATATGTAAACATATTATTTGAAAACACTAATGAAAATGCAAATCCATCAAAAGTTCACTTAAGTAGTAAACTTGGAAGTGGAAGTAAAAGTGGAAGTAATTTAGGCTGAATCCCAAATGGCTCTGTGTTCCCCATGAAGTGCACTATGTAGGTCATAGAATAACAAATCTATGCCCACATGTTTCATTGTATGTCTAGTAGAAAGCCATTTATATTCAGCCATAAGCCGCACGACTCCCTACTTAACAGTTAGTGCACTATTTGGGTGTAAAAGCCATAATTTCTTAACTTTTACAGTGCACTGTATAGTTTGAAGGGAGCCATTTGTAATTCAACCTCAGTTACTATGCACATCTGCAGCTACAGCTGCAATTAGAGTAGTTATCATTCCTGTTGAAGTAGCTGTCATCATATCTATTAGAGCAGTTGTCTTCATACTTTTTAAGGTCGTGCCACAGAAAATTAGGCATTCAGTAGACTGTAACTCATGTTAGTCTGTACTCAACATTACAGAATTTAAACTGTTACTTTCTGGGATGTCTTGGCCGGTTTTTCAGACCCGGTTCTGGGACTCCAGGCTGCGCCTCATCTGGTCGAGCCCAGAGCTCTGCGTGCTGCCGGAATCTACATCAGACACCTCGAGAATCTACATCGGGCACCTCAACGTAGACCAGGCTGAGGTAGTTATTCAGCACCACTCACATTAAATGACACTTTTGAAAATAGTGTATTATTATGTGTCAGCATATGAATACATGAATCTCATTAAGACTTACTTTATTTTCCCTGTGTCATAGGTGATGACTGAGGAGAATGGCAGGGTTACAGTTAGCTCCTCATTCTTTGGACTGGTGATTACTTACACCGGGGGTGTTAAACTCAACTAGAAAAGGGCTATATTAAAAAAATCAAATCTGTGGGCCAGAGAGAAAAATGTTTTTATTTAATTTTTAGTTAATGTTATGCTATAACCTGAGTTGGCCACTGTTTATTCAAAATATGCAAAAACTTCAACAGTAAAATACAGACACTTATAGTAGAGCTTGAAATATTCAAAATGTAAATGTCCCCTGAAGCTCAGTCTTTTAAACATACTTATTTGCTTGAACTAGACGCCTGGCATCCTTTCTTTGCTGCAAGTTCATTTAGACTTGGGCCCAATTTCCCAAGCTGCTAGCTAATGTTAAGTGTTTATGTTGGTT